TCCGGGGGGTCATGGCGGGCAGGCCCCTGCCCCCGTTCGGCCTCGTGTCCCGGGCGCGCGCCGAGCCGCGGGCAGCGGAGACGGGAACGCGCTCGGGCGGACGCGCGGACGCACGGAAGGACGCACGACGACGGCCCGCCGCCCGGCGCCCGGGAGGGACGCGGAGAGCCGGGCGGGAAAGGGGAGCCTCCAAGCGGACGGGAAGCACCGAAAGAGGCGACGGACCGGAAGCGGAAGTGGCCGCGCGCCCCGCCCGGCGCCGACCACCGAGTCTGCGCGGCACCGGCTTTCTCAGCCCTACCCACCGGCTTAACGTCACTTCCGGCGCGCGAGGCCGGGTTGACGGGCTTCGCCAGCCTCACTTCCGCCCGCCGCCGCCGCCAGGGCCCGGGGAGGCCGCGCAGTTCCCGCCCCGGCCCAGGAGGCGGGCCGCTCCCCTCCCCTCCCCTCCGCCCAGCCGGGCACGGAGCCCACGCCGGGCCGCCCGTGGCACCGCCTCCGGACACACCCCGCGTCCGCCGAGAAGGCAGCGCGCCCGCCAGAGCCAAGGGCACCTGGGCCGGGGAACACCCGGGTTACACACAGCAGACAGCGCAGCCCGTCAAGTAAAATACAACAAAATGTTTAATGAGCAAATTCGTCTTAGCAAATATGAAACCACCACAGAGGAGGGGCAGGGCCGCGGGACTAGAGGAGAGAACCAACTACGTTAAGAAACCAAGGGGAGGACTAGAGGCCAAAGGGCTGGAGCTGCGGAGCCGGGGAGGGAGAGGGAGGGCAAAGGGCCGGACAACAAAATTCAAAATAGTTTGGCCATAAAAATATAAAACACGCTGTTCCTACAGTGGAAAAGGGGAGGAGGGGTGGGGTGTGAGGGAGGAGAGGCTGTCTTGGGGAGGGGTGTGGGGTCCCACCCCACCCTGCCGTGCGCCCCGATCCAGGCCCCTTCCCTCTGTGTCTGTGGGTGCATGTGTGTGGGCCGTGTGCACACTTCCCCATCCCCGCCCCGCCCCCCCCCCACCCTTAATTGCTGCCATTCCAGTTGCTGCCGGCTGTCATTCGGCTGTCACTCCTCTGCCCATCGTCTTCAGAGGGGGAAAGAGGGAGGGGGCGGCGGGGAGCAGCCCCCAGCCAGCCCGGCCCCACCCACCCCCGCCGCCTCTACCAGAAGTCCCGGCGGTGGTAAGAATCGGGGTCACAGTATTTTGTGACAACCACTCTGTTGGCGAACTTGCGACCTGTCAGGCCCTGCATGGCTTTCTGGCAGTCAAACACAGAGGTGAACTCCACGAAGATCTGCAGGAGAGAGGCAGGGGAGAGGCCGGGACCCTGTAGGCGCTAGCTGGCTACTCAGCCATCAGCCAGCACCACCCAAACCCGGCGCTCACTGCAGGTGGGGGGGCATTACCCACATGCCCTCCAGAACCCAGGGTCAAAGAGCAGGAGAGCAGGGAGCAGAGGTGTGCAGAGGCGGGGCAGGCTCCAGGGAGAGAGGTCACATGCGTGATCTCTGTACCAGGTGGACCCCAGGCACCCAAGGGCCATGCTCTCCCCAGACAATGGATGAAGTAAGGGAAGCTCAGAAATTAGGCTTCAAACCTGGGTGGACACAGAAGAAAAAGTTGAACTTTGACCTATTCAGGTGCCTACTTGCTTGAACCACCAGTTTACAGGAGCCGAGGGGGGCTACGTGGGTTCTGGATGCCCCTACTGCCTCAGCAATGAAAACGCTTGCAAAGGCAGCAGGGGGATGCAGAACTCATCAACTGTAAGCAAGTTTAAAACCAAGTTGCATGATTCCTGGTTTGTACCCCGAAAGGAACCAACTGGAGGAGACATTTTTGAGACCCTAAGGAAAACCCTGAGCACAGACCGGGTAGGTACTAAGGATGGTTTTGTTAACAATGGTATTGCAGTGTCGTTAAAAGGTTTAAAAAGTTATGTCAAGCAGTTCTCAGCCAGGGCGAATGTGTCCCCAGGCTACATGACAGTGTCTGGAGGTGTGTTTTGGTTGTCACAGGGGTGTGTAGTGCTCCCAGGATCTGGTAGGTGGAGGCCCGGGACAGAGCTCAACATCTAACAACGCACAGCACAGACCCCAAAACTAGCTGCCTCAGTGTCTCAGGTGAAACACGCCACCTGCCTCAAGTTATTTCAGCAGAAAGGGGGGGTGGACGGGAAGCCGACTATAGACTTTAAGGAGGACAAGTTGTTGCTAACTGGAAGCTACACTCTAAAACTGCTATATACATGCCACACAACCCAAATAATATACTACATCACTCTATCACTCTGACAGTTTCTCTACTTTTACATGTTTGGAAAGAATAAAGTTTAAAAACAAAACAGGCTGATCCCAGAGATGAGGCAGGATCACTGGTTCCTCTGATACTCTCAGGCCCCTCGTGGCCCCGTCCTCGTGCTGCTGACAGCACCAAGCACACTCCTGCCCCAGGCTCTGCCCCGCCCCGCCCCCCACCTGCCTGCTGCCAAGAGCGGGGCCCCCTCAGGTGCTTACGGCCACCTCTGCACCCTGACGTTCCCATCTGAGAGCAGTGCCAGGGCCTGCGCCCTTCCCCGCAGTGACAGGCCTGGCCGGCTTCAGCGGGAGGCACTCCGGTTCCCTGGGTGAGGTGCACAGCCTGCCTCCAGGGCACAGGGCTGGAGGTGACAGGACCCAGGGGGCTGGGAAATGAGGCTGTGAGAACCTGACACCTGACCATGTGGTTTGTGTCCTCCCAGGAAGGGGCCCCGGGAGCTGCTGGGAGAGCTCTGGGGTAACCAGGTGAGTTTAGCGGGGTCGCTTAGAAGGGCACCCGGCACCCGGGAGGTGAGTGTGTAGGAGTGGGGACTATTTTTAGCACTTTTCCCCCACTCCGAGGACAAGGCCAAACCACCTGCACACAAGGTCACACAGCAGCCAAGCTCTGCACCAAGTTCTGCCACAGCAGTTCTGCTGCCTGCACGGCCCTGGGTGCCCGCGGGCCAGAGGAGGGTGTGTAGGAGACGCCGGAGAGCGGCGGGGCAGAGGGCAGACGCACGCACCTTCCCGCAGCCGGGCACCTCGACGCCGTCCACGGGCCGGGGGATCTCGATGGACTTGACCAGCCCGTACTTGCTACACTCGTCCCGCACGTCCTCCACGATCTCCTCGTACTCCTCGTCGTCCAGCAGCTCCTCGGGCAGCACCATGTTCATGAGGCACAGGACCTCAGTGGGGTGGCCGCCCATCTGCACCTGGGAGCTCATCAGGCCCGGCACTTGCAGGGTCACGGGGGTCTGGTTGATGGTGCTCTGTGGGGCAAGCAGGCAGGGGTGTCACGGCCGCCCCCCCAGAGGCCAACCATCCCGGCACACCGAGCCCCGCCCCTTCCCGCCCCCCGGCCCCCAAGCCAATGGAAGATGACGTGCCGGGAGGCTCACCAGCGTGGCATTCTTGGCTCCCACACTCGCCCTCTGGACCAGCAGTTTCTTGTCCCCCAGCTGCATCCCGTTCAGCCCCGCAATGGCCTATGTTTGGAGGACGACGGGTGGGGGCGCAGGGAAGAGGTACGGGTCAGGGCCCAGGAGCCCACGGTGCCCCCAATACCACAGATCGGGCATTGGTGGGGGAAGAGGGGAAGGCAAAGGGCTGGGAGCTTGGAAAGCCCCGGCAGGACCCCGAGGCTGGCCGGCTCCTCCCGCCCATCCCGAGGGGAGACCTCAGCGATAACCAGCAGGGTGGGGGCGAGGGCGGATTCAGCCGGGCCGGGCCCGGGGCTCACCTGGTCCGTGACGTTGATGTCCACGTACTCACAGAAGGCGTAGCCCTTGGAGAGCCCGGTGGCGCTGTCCTTGACCAGGTTGAAGGCCTTGAGAGGCCCGAACGATGTGAGCAGCTCTTTCACCTGTGGGGGCGGCCGCCGAGCCGTCAGGGTTTGTTCGGGTGAAGGTGGGGGTGGGGTGGGGGTGGGGGTGGGGGTGGCGAGAGGCCTACCTGGTCATCGTTCAGGTAGTTGGGTAAGCCCCCGATGAACAGCTTGTGGGCAGAGTCCGGGACCACAGTGGACACCACTCCTGGGGGGAGAAGGAAGGGACAGACTTGGATGCCCACCAAGAGGTTGCCACCGAACCCTGGGGGAGTGTGCAGGGAGAGGCCCGCCTTCCTCCCGGCCCGGTGACAGCTGACAATAGAAAACGCCTTGTCCCCCAAGCCTGCCCAGCCTCCCAGGTACCGGGGTGACAGCCACCAGCATGATGCAAAGCATCAATCCCGCCCGGGGGCCATGAAGACCTGAGCTCACACCCCACCTGCTGCCCGCAGCTATGGACCCTCACCCTACTGACAGGGCCTCCAAGACCCACAAGCCCTTCTCCACCCTCCAACCTTACCGCCGCCTCCCGGGAGACAGACAGGCTCTCGGCCCGCCCCCAGCGCTGCTGCACTCCACACAGCCACCCAGCCCCAGACGCTCTGGCCCCGGGCAAGTGTGACACTGGAGGGATCTGCTGTGTCCCTGAGGTGCCCGGCTCACTCAGCACCGAGCCCCTGGCGCCCAGTGGGGGCTCACACAGCAGGGTCACGTTGGCTGAGTGGGTTTAGTGATGACTGTGCCCTGAACTCTGGGCTCAGCAACACGTGCCGGCAGCCCCCGCACTGTCTGGACAGACCACTGGCCTCCCAGCCAGATGTGCTCCTGCCCCTGCTTCCCTCTGCAGCCCCCCAACGAGCAGCCGCCCCACCCCTCCTGACCCTGGGCAGGTGAGCTGGGCTGGGGCACACACCCGAGACCGAGCCACCGCACCCCTGGGAGGCTGCACTCCTCCCACCACCTGCCCAGCCTCCTGCCCAAGTGCTGGCACCAACCCAGCCACTCCCAGCACCACAGCCGAGCCCATCGCCCTCAGACCCGCCTGTCCAAGGGGAGGAGCAGACCACCCTGGGAGCTGGGACCTCAGACAGAGCAGTCCCCACCACAGGGCGGGCACCTGGGTCCCATTCAGTCTACACCTCAATGCTCGCCACAGCCTACCCAGTTCAACAGGGGTAAATTGAGGCAGAGAGAGTGCTGCCTGAGTTCACACAGGCAGGAAGGGGCCTCCAGGAGCCACTCACCCAACTCCACAGCGAACTAAGGGCTTTCCCGACAGCGGAGGACGTGGACAGAGGTTACATCACCGGCCGGTGAGGCCGAGCCGAGTGAACCCCAGACGTCCGGCCCAGGCCGGTACCTGCAGTGCCACGCACCTCAGGGAAGCGAGGGCGCTGCGGGCTCCCCAGACAGGCCCCTGGGTTCAGGTGGGGACTGCAGCGCTGAGCGAGCTCCGAGCCTCAGAGGGAGAAGGTGGCACCTAGCACGGAGGGCGCATGGAGGGGACGATCCGCACAAACTGTGTCCTTCACACAGGGCCTGAGGGGGGCCCGGCCCCGGAGGCCCTTCGTGGCCACTGGGCTCTGACACAGGGAGAGTGACCTCTCACGGTCCCATGGCCAGGAAAGGGCACTGCCGACTGGGAACCTGGGCTGGTCTCAGCGCCAAAACCAAGCCCCCGACGTCTGCCACAACCTCTGACATAAGGCACGGCCTCCAAGCGCGCCTGCGGCCGCCCCTGCACCTGCTCCCTGCCACCTCCCCGAAAGCCGCAAGGACCCGACAACCAAGCAGTTTTGTTCGTGCCAGTGTCCTCTGCCTCGGCCGGACCACGGCTGCCTGGTGACCGCGGGTCTGGCACAGAAAACCTTCCCAGGAAGGGCGGGGCGGAGCCCACAGGCAGGCGCCCCCTGAGGCAGAGTGGGACTCGGCCCTGACCTGCAGGGGGAGCCTGGCAGTGGGCGGGAGTTCACAGCCACGTGGATTCACCCACCAAAGGTCACGTGCCTCCCGGCCCGCACACACTCGGGCTCTCCCTGCCCCGTCCACGTCTTGTCTAACAGACTCAGCACAGGACCAGCACTGGGCAGGGCCGGCTTCCGGGGGAACGCGTTTAAGGGTTGCCGCCCCCATGACGCGCGTCTACCTGCAGGTCCGTCTACCTGCAGGTCCATGCCCTTCTGCAGAGATGAGGAAGCTGCCTCCCAGGGTCCTGACTTTCCCATGGAGAACGACTGGGGCCCTAGCTGGGTGGGATAGACGCGTCGGCCTGCGGACTGAGGGGTCCCAAGTTCAATTCCTGGCAAGGGCACGTGCCAGGTTTGCAGGCTTGATCCCCAGTGGGGGGCGTGTGGGATGCAGCCGATCAATGGTTCTCTCTCATCATCTCTCCCCCCCTCTCTGAAATCAATAAAGATATACTTTAAAAAAAGAATGCCTGCTGAGTTTTAGGAGATGCTTTTCCCTTCAGTTTTTAAAATGGAGAACAGAAAACCCAATCACTAGCCTTAGTACAGAAAGAGTAGGACCCGAGGATGCTCAGCCTGCAGGCAGAATCCCGCTCCAGCCAGCCCCCGAGTGGGCAGGGCCAAGGCGTGGGGCCCAGACCGCCCAAAGAGCAGCTCGGTGGCTGCGCTGTGTGCTGCTCAGGCTCCGAGCGGCCACCTCCAGGCAAGGACCTGGGACGCAGGCGTCTCCATCCGCACAGGGAACCGGCGAGCAGACGCCCAGCCCGGCCCTGGAGCCAGTCGGCAGAGCCCGAGCCCCGCCAGCCTGTGCAACGGCTCCTACGCCCACTGCCCAAGGGCCGGCTGGTGAGTATTTCCAGCTTGTGAGCTGGGGGTCTGTTATCACCCAGGTTGGCCACTGCAGGGTAAGAGCTGTGTAAACCATGGGCAATGCGTGGGCACAACTGGGTGCCAGTAAATATTTATTGTCTTAAAGTATATATATTTTTATTTTAAGGGGGGGGGGGGAGTGAAACATCAATGATGAGAATCATCGACTGGCTGCCCTCTGCACGCCCCACACTGGAGATGGAGCCTGCAACCCGATATGCCGACCGGGAACCGGACCATGACCTCCTGGTTCATAGGTTGCCACTCAACCACTGAGCCACGCCGGCCAGGCAAGCGCCAATAAACATCTAGAAGGCAGGCGGGGCCCACACTGGCCCCGGGTGTCACAGGGCTGTCACAAAGGCCACCAGGCGACCCAAAGCACCACACCAAGAAGTGCCTGGCACAGGAGCGGGGGGGGGGGGGGAGCTCCCCAATGATAACTGAGCAGGACACATGGGTTTCCAGGAAGAGCCTACCTGGGAGCGGCTCCCAGACACTGATACTTAGAGGTCAGTGTGCGTTACACCTCAGTTTCCAAAAGTCAGAGATGCAACGAATCTACCCAAACCGCTGTGGGGGAGCCCTGGGGACGAGCGGGCAGCCAGCCCGAGGTGCTGCCCTCTGGAACCCCACGTCGCCACCACTCTGCCAGGTGAAGAGCTGCCCAGTTTCTAAAAGGCGTCCTCCGGAGCCACGCCCCAGTGGGCAGACCCCCTGCCCCAACCCCCAGGGCCGGGCTGACCCCTACGCAGAGCACCTGTCAGCCCGCCTTGTGGCAACGACTCTGGCGGCCTGAGGCCCCGCCCCCGCGCAGCGGCACGGCCCCTCCCACCCCAGGCCTGGACCTAACTTACACCCCGCCTGTCAGCAAGTCCTACCCGATTTCGACAGCCTACGAGCTCACTTCATGGTGTATAAATACGGCACAAAACCTCACTGTCCAGGCCTGGGAAGGTCAGGGCGGGTGGCATGGCCGCTCAGAAGGTGTGGTCGCTGCTGCTAACCACAGCGCAGAGTAGAACCTTCCAGAGAGCGGACAGCCTGCGCGGCCTAAACATCTCCTCTGGCCCTGCCCACACGGAGGGGTGCCGGCCCAGGCCTGCTGCCACCTCCCGGCTGACGGTGCACTCGCTGCGGGACAGGGCGGGACGGGGTGGGACGTGGGGTTCCCGCACCAGAGCCCACGGAACAGAGACAAAACTGGGGGAACACCTGGTGGTGGGCCCCAGGACCCACACTAGCTTCCCCTGTAACCAAGTAAGCAGCTCAAACTGGCCGAATCCTGTTTCCAAGATACCGAGATGTCCTTGTAAGTCATACATGTCACACGGCCCAGCATGCACACAGAACTGACCTCCAGGGACACCCAGAGCCAGAGCGGGCTGACGGGCTCCATCCCCTGGACCTTCCCCACGGAAGGGGCTGCTGCGGGAAGACCGCCGCTCGCCAGCCCGCCCTTCCTCACCCTTCAGCCCACCGCGCCCTCCCAGGGAGGCCGGTTTGAGCCTCGCCTCCTGTCCTCCTGCCTGCTGGCCTCACAACAAAGCCTTTCCTCCCAAAAGCTGGCCTCGTGGATCTTAGGGGTGGAAGGCTCTGAGGGGAACTGTGACAGAATAGTAAAAGCCAGGAAAATACCAGAACTGGCAGAATAGGGAAACTGAGGCAGGTGTTAAAAAGCAGTTTGTGTCCACCTAGCAAATCCGATCTTCCCTAAACCAAGGCCACTGGAGAGGAAATGGTTTGCACGTCTCCCCAACCAGAGGGTAAGTGGCCGAAGCCCCCGCACTCAGGGAGGCAGAGACCGGAAGTCCAATGAAGAGCCATGAAGAGAATGAGCTCGTTCTGGTCCATCAGCACGAAGCTGGTGAACATCCTATCGATCCGCCTGGAAGACCGCCCCTCAGCAGATCTAAAAGCCCCTGAAAGTGACGCCCGTGCACTCTCCCTCCAGGAGCCCAACGTGCCATTCCTTCCCCGCTCGCCCCTCCCGCCATAGCCCTGACCTCCAGGGCCCCCATGAGACTTCACCGGGGGAGCCACGGGCAGTGGCAGCGCCTCCCGGGCTGACCCCTGAACCCCCCCTTTTCTCGGAGGCCGCCCAGCCCCGGCTCTCCTGCTGCTTCCCCCACGCCCCTCCTGGCTGCAGGCCCCTAAGTCTGTCTGCTGCGGTCAGTAACGTCCTGCTTGCTCTCCTGCACTTGGTCTCGATGGAAACCTTCCCCTCAAGGGGACAGGAACCGAGGCTGTGTCTGCCCGGTGGACCTTTGTGGTTTAAACCACATCAGCCGGAGCTCAGGGCCCGAGTCTCCGATGGCCCGCTCCTCGCGGTGTACCTTCAACAAACCCCGCTTTGCTTTACGTTAAAAAAAATGCACAAAACCCACCATGTCCTGGAACTGCCTTCTGTGGGTGTGGGCCTGAGCCCCTGCGCAGTAACCGACTGCACACGCACGTGCACACACACTCGCACTGCCCCCGGGGCCCCGAGCCGGGCCCTCAGCTCCCACACTGGCTGGGTCCTGGCCCCGCCACTGACAAGCTGTGCTGTGCGTCCCCAAGCGGACAGCTCACCGCCGTCCTCGGGCCACCTCTGCCAAGGGGGGAGGCCCCCAGCTCAAAGGTCTGGGGGACGGAGGAGACGCGCCCAGAGCACTCACTCTGCTCCCCAAGCAGCCAGCCGGGCCGGGACAGGCGGG